TCTAATAAAAACACCGGAGTTTTTAAAATATGGTTGAAAATGAGATTGTAATGCTGATAAATGTCACAAAGTTTCAATTATTATTTGTTCTCTGATTATAGAATGCATTTCTGTAGGGTATGGGACTATTTTCGGTGATTTTAGCTGAACTATGAATAATTTATCTGATATTTTAAATTTCAGAAGCGTTTTCCTATAGTTAATTACTGTTTGAGATAGCTTGTTCCCTTCGGAACAAGAGAAAGATGGCTTATAATACTAATCAGTATGACAAGGTCTATTTTCTGAAAATCTTTATTATTTATATAACATTGCAACTACTCTTTAAGCACACTTTGTATAATTTAAAGAAGAGTTGGGAAGAAAATAGTTAACAGCAACAAAGTTAAAGAAGATTTTATCACCAGTTTAACAGTTTCCAAACAAGTTTTCAATTATATTAAAATTAATTTTCTTAGACTTCGTTTCAGCATCTGAAGCCAAAAATGATGTATGTTTACACTAATCTGTCTACATTTGTAAAGACACTTGAAACACTTAATTAAAAGGGCTGAATTATGGTGTCAGTGCTTGATTTATGGCTCTAATGTTGGTTAACTAATTAGAAATGTAAAATGTTCCAGTTCATTTACAGGCATCGTTCATTAACTGGCTATCAAGGAGTGACGGGAACTTTTGAAGGAATTTATAGAGCCAGATTTCCTGCCAACTATATTTTTTTTCTTGATTCCAATAAGATGTAGTTTCCTTGTTAATATATATGTAAGACCTGTGTAGGTGTCAATAACTTAGTCTGAAGTTGGATTTTGATACCAAAGCTTTTGAAAAGGAGTAACACCTTTTGTAAGCAAAATATGGTATCTCTTTGGTAACTGCATGTTGAAGGCTGTGATATACCAGGGTCTCATTCCCAGTCTTTTTTCTCCCCTCAAAAAATAGCTGTTTTCCCTGTGAGATATTTGAGAAAGAATTTTAAAATAACATCTAGAATATAATTTATTTATAAGCCCCCATTGGAATGTAGCTACATCGTTATTTTATTGTATTTTAAGCTGAACACAGTTGTTCTGTTTCTTTCCTTAAAATGTCTTGGGGTCTTCTTTCCCAGAAGTGTTTCTTGTTTTATAAAAGGAAGTTAAAAGAGGGCTAAAAATGACTCCTGGCTTTGAGGAGACCTTATAGGATCCTTCCTGTACCTAAAAGGGAAATAAAAGAAGGATGGAGAAGGACTTTGGACAAGGGCCTGGAGGGACAGAACAAGGGGAAATGGCTTCAAACTGCCAGAGGGCAGGGTTAGATGGGATGTTGGGGAGAAATTCTTCCCTGTGTGGGTGGTGAGGCCCTGGCACAGGCTGCCCCATCCCTGGAAGTGTTCAAGGCTGGGTTGGATGGGCCTTGGAGCAACCTGGTCCAGAGGAAGGTGTTCCTGCCCATGGCAGGGGGGCAGAACAAGATTGTCTTGAAAGTCTCTTCTTACCCAAACCACTCTGTGATTCTCTGTTTGGGTTAATAAAGCAAAAAAAAAAAGCATTTGATGCTCCTACTGGACAGCAACTTCATCCTGAGCCATCAGTGCAGGTCAGCCACATGCCCAGTAAGAAAATTCTTCTTCATGTTCAGGTGGAACTTCCTTGGTATCAGTTCCTGCCTGTTCTTCTTGTCCCATTGCTGGGCCCCGTTGAGTAGAGCCTGGTCCATCCTCTGCCCCCTCCCTGCAGACACTGATGGACATGGAGGAGGTCCCCTCTCAGTGGCTCCTCTGGAGGCTGAACAGCCCCAGCTCCCTCAGCCTTTCCTCGTAAGACATGCTCCAGTCCCTTCATCATCTTCGGAGCCTCCTCTGGACCTGCTGCAGGAGCTCCATGTCCCTCTGGTACTGAGGAGCCCAGACGTGGACACAGCACTGCAGATGTGCCTCGCCAGGGCTGAGCAGAGGAGCAGGGTCCCCTCCCTGACCTGCTGGCAGTGCTCCTCCTAATGCCATCAAGGACATCATTGGCCTTCTTGGCCCCCAGGACACACCACTGGCACAGGGATGGCTTGTCGTCCACAAGGACCCCCAGGTCCTTCTCCATGTCCTCCCTCTCCTGCTTTCCGACAGGTCACCCCCAAACTGTAGTGGTGCTTGGGGTTATTCTTCCCCAGGTACCCAACCTGGAATTTGCATTTGCAGATACACAGGCAGATAAATGTACATATTTGCATATTTCAGGAATACATTTTTGGTAGGCCCTTGGGTCTCACAGAAGACTGATTGCAGGGTATTCCAAAACACGTCAGAAGAAAAATGTGGTTCATGACTTGCTGAGAGGTGTAAGATCTGCTGCCTGAAATGATCTGTGTAGAGAAAGAACCTTACACCTATGGCTGTGAGGATGAGGAGGAAAAGGGAGGCATTTCTGAAAGGATTAGTTAGGAATCTGAAACATGCAGCTAATTTTTTCAGTTTTTCTTTTGCTATTGGCATAAATTGCATATATAGTTCATTTGACGAAATTGCAGTCTTGCTGCTACTGAATTCAATATACTTTTGTGAAAATGAATTTATGTAGTTGATTTCTGAAAATCCCAAGTATTATCATTTGACTTAAGAGCCCAACTACATAAATATGCATAGGGCTGACTCTTGGAGAAGTCATTTCTAATTTAGATGCTTGTAAAACTGCTCTACTTATTGCTGAGAAACACACCTCAGAAGATCCATGTGAGACATTATTTCACGTTCCAGGTAATGCTGCATTTATTTCTGCTAAGTCAGCAGTTCCTGGAGCTGGAACAATATGTTACCTGGTTAAAATTCTTCTATTTGTCTTTTTGTTAAATGATGAAATTCCATAAATTCCCTGACGTCCTTTTGCTTATTACTATTTAACTGCTATACCTTCAATGAAGTTACAGATTTCTCAGGGCTTGATCCTTTCTCTGTAAAGTGACAAAAGTTATGGGGTCTGTGTGCGAATTGGAAGTTTTATGGAGGAATAAGATCTTTTGTAAAAGACTTGCCCTGCTGAAATAAAGAAGTCATTCACTTGGAATAATTTTTTAGCTTAGAATAAAGCCATTTCAACACGTTCTGATTAGTAACAGTTTTCAACACTAAAGGCATGTGTTAGTTATATGTTGTGTCCCTAAGTCCTGATTTACATTTTCGTACCCCGTGTTGCATTTTTTATTTCAAATTTATTGTATCATTTGGGTTGCACTTGTTGATTGTTCTTGGATGTTAAGGAAAATAGACTAACCACGAAGTTATCAGAACGCTGTGAAGATTAAAACAGATCATTAACACAAATCTTCTGTGCTTTGAAATAGGTTTGATGATTAGAAATCAGAATGACTTTATATTTTTAATTCCTGTTTCTTGATTTATTTTCTTTTAAAGCTCAAATAAGAAGTGCACTGCTTACAGAGCATTTTTAGTCAATATGCAATTAGGAAACCTCTTTGCATGATTGCAGCAAAAGGTTATTTTGAATTATGTTGTAAATGTGCCTATAAGTGGGAGCAGGTGATTATTGCTTTTGTATTTTTTACCTGGAACTCTAAAGGAGAAAAGCAGGTCGGAATATAATCCAGCAGTGACTCAAAACTCGTAACACTAAAGATTTTAGTAGAATCAATGTGTTTTAGCCCTATTTAATTTTGGTAATCAGTTTGATAGATAAAGTACACGAGTGCTTAGCCGTGATCATAATTTAAGAATTAAACTTTCTTCATTAGGAAACAGTCTTTGCAAATCGATTCTTTTTCTAGTGAAATAAAGATATTTTGCTAACCAGTAGCCTGTTGGACAAATTAGATATTTTTAGACTGTCTTCATGTAGCACTCTCTTTTCAGTTGACTAAACCAGCACTTTTTTCCTGATTTAGAAACAAAAAAGGCTTTTAAAAGATCCTCTACAGAATGGAAATCAGAGATATTTCATATTTTTGTCTATAACACTGAGGTGATCTAGTAGGACTTCAGCAATGTAGTCTGCTAATAAAAATAATCAAAATGAAGAAATTAATTAACAGAGAATATCCCACTTCCTCTTCAGGTATAAATAACTTACACCTTTCCTATGAAGTTCCTGAATAGCCAAGAAATTCTCAGAGGGTTCAGAGAGGAATAATATTGACTTAGAATCATGGAATGGTTTGAGATGGAAGGGACTGTAAAGACCATCTCATTCCAACCCCCTACCATGGGCAGGGACACCTTCCACTATCCCAGGTTGCTCCAAGCCCCGTCCAAACTGGCCTTGAACACTCCCAGGGATGGGGCAGCCACAGCATTTCTGGGCAACAGGGTTGTGAATTATTTATATATATATAATAGTTTTTAATTTTATGTATCCATTTGGATTTAGAGCTACTAGGTAATATTTATTTTTTTCAGAAATTTGGTGGATAGTTTTGCCAAGAAATGTTGAACCAGGTGATCTTTGAGATCCCTTCCAACTTGATATTCTACGATAAATAAAAAGTGTCCAAAGGAGGGCAATGAGGATGGTGAAGGGCCTTGAGGGGAAGCCGTAGGAGGAGTTTCTGAGGGCACTTGGTCTGTTCAGCCTGGAGGCCACTGAGGGCAGACCTCACTGCAGTTACAGCTTCCTCCTGTGGGCAAGAGGAGGGGCAGGCACTACTCTTTTCCCTGTGACAGTGAGCAGTGGCAGGACCCGAGGAAATGGCCTGAAGTTATGTCAGGGGAGGTTTGGGTTGGATATTAAAAAAAGGTTCTTCCCCCAGAGGGTGGTTGGGCACTGAACAGGCTCCCCAGGGAAGGGGTCACAGCGCCAAGGCTGACAGAGTTCAAGAAGCATTTGGATGATCCTCTCAAGCACCTGGTGTGATTCTTAGGGATGGTCCCGTGCAGGGCTAAGGGTTGGACATGAGGATCGTTGTGAGCCCCTTCCAGAGCTCAGCACATTCCGTGTGATTCTGTGAAACAAGACGTACTTAGAAAACACCAACGGCCCCCAAATGCTCATCATTTCCCATTTCCTTTTGCTCCTTAGAACAAGATCATTCTGGACCCGATGACCTTCAGCGAGGCCCGTTTCCGGCCGTCCCTGGAGGAGAGGCTGGAGAGCATCATCAGCGGGGCGGCGCTCATGGCCGACTCCTCGTGCACGCGGGACGACCGCAGGGAGCGGATCGTGGCCGAGTGCAACGCCGTGCGCCAGGCGCTGCAGGACCTGCTCAGCGAGTACATGAACAACGTAAGTCACGCTCGCAGCGCGGGGGCACCGCGGCGGCACCGCGGCCTCCGGCCCTCCTGGGCCAAAGCACGGCCCCAGTGCGCCTTCACAGCACAAGGAAAGGGACGTCTGTAAATAATAATAATTACAGATACTTGTATATTTTTAAGGTTTATTTTTACCTTTAAAATTAGATTTATTTATAGATTTTTATATATATATATATATATATAAAATATATAATTGTGTTATAATGGTAGAAAACTAAAATATTACAATTAAATTGCTATTTAAATTTATATGCAAATTACACATATTTTTAAAGGTAAATATTATTGAGTTATTTATAATATAATATATAACTAATATATATTTATGTTATATATATATATAACTAGAATTATATATAACTAGAATTATTTATAACTAGAGTTATATGTTATGTAATATGCAATATATAATAAAATACATAAATATATGACCTGAGATATTTATAAATATAAAATACATATATAATTATATAAATAACCAGAATTATACATACTATGTAATATATATTTATACTGTATTTAATTATAGTTAAGGTATGATAGAAATTTATATGAAAATTGTACATATTTATAACGGTAAGTATTGATATTTATAATATAATATATAATTAATATATATTTATGTTATATATATAACTAGAATTATATATAACTAGAATTATATGTTATGTAATATACAATATATAATGAAATACATAAATATATAACATGAGATATTTATAAAAATAAAATACATATATAATTATATAAATAACCAGAATTATACATACTATATAATATATATTTATACTATATTTAATTACAATTAAGGTATAATAGAAATTTATATGAAAATTGTACATATTTATAATTGTAAATATTATTGAGATCTATAATATATAATCAATACATATTTATGGTGTATATATATAACTAGAATTATATGTAACTAGAATTACATGTTATATAATATACAATAAATTATATAACGCATAAATATATAACACGATATATTTATAAATATAAAATACCTATATAATTATATAAATAACCAGAATTATACATACTATATAAAATATATTTATACTATATTTAATTATAGTTAAGGTATGATAGAAATTTACATGAAAATCATAAATATTTATAATGATAATTATTGTTGAATTGTAGAGAATATATATTTATATTACATTTAAATAGAATTATATAGTCTAAATATAATATCTATGTTATAATTAGAGCTGTATACAATATCTCATGTATATAATATTAAATGTAATTAAAATTATATTTAATTATAATTATATATAATTGTATAAGGTATTATATATAAATATATAAAATAGAAATAATCTCAATTAATATTTTAATTATTTAAATTTTTAGTGGTAATTCTCTTGGAAATGTTTTGCCTTTTAATGATAATGCCTTTTAAATTATTGAGCTTTTTAATATATTGCAAATTGTTTGGTACAAGCAGAAACTCATGGGGATGGTTTTTTATCTATGATGGGACTCCGTGCTCCCCATGAGTTTGGCATTAAGTTCCTTATTGTGTAGTAAGTAGTCAACAAGCATTCCTTTGGAGGCAGAATGCTTTTTTTGATGAAAGTAATGGTAAGCAGCGCAACTGAGAAATGACCTAAGAATTATTTTCTTACTGAAGGTGAATACAGTTAATTTTCAACGTTGTGTTTGATGTTTTGGATGTGACCTGTAGATACTCATGAGAGGTTGTCTGTTATGTGGATTAAACCACTGAAGGTTTTCACTTGCTGCTGGAACTGGGAAATACTCGGTTACCATGAAAGGAGTGAGTGTAGCTCTAGTGCTGTTCTCACAGTCACAAATACTACTCTGTGTAGGTTTTCCAGAGGTGTTAAATTGTTCAACATGGTGTTACCTGGCAGTGCATAACCTTTGTTGTGCATAATTTATCCCAGAAAATTCTCTCCACCCAACACTGTGCATTAAAACCCATTAAGTGCTATCTCTGTGCCCTTTGGAGGATGTGGGAGAAAGTCTGAAGCAACATCAGTAACCTGTTTCGAAATGACAATGTGTGCTAAGAGGTATCAAACTGAGCATCCTCTGCTTCACTGTTTCTTGTCTTTGGTTGCTGCCAGAGTGTTGGGTGGCACATTTTGATCCTGTTTGGTGGAATCATCAAAATAAGGCTGAAGAGTGTTCAAGGATGGGCCTTTAATGTTGTTATTTTCATTGGTACTGTTCTAGTTGGTAGAGCGATACAGTGAGGTATCACCAGTGCAATCTGCAGTCCTTTAGTCATTTCATTTTACAGTTCAAACTTAAACGTTACCTTTTAAGGATATTGTTCCATATAATCGAGCCACCTCAAGGAATAGATGTTTGGTGGTGCAGAACTGAGGAGCATTATTTGCTTTTTAGTTTTTCTGAAGTGAGAGCTCACAGGTTCTTGTGAAAACTTGAGTGACAGCAAAGTTTGTGCTGCTGTGTTATGGGTTAGAAGTTATAAAGAGGACCTTAAATAACAAATGATGAGGCTGTGGTGGAAGAGAACGTGCTGGGTTGCTTCCTACAGAATCTTGCTCTGTAGAACTGTTGCTGATAGGTTCAGTCTTTGAAGTTCTTTCAAAGCAACTTTGAGAACTGATGAGTTGTGGCTTCTTATTTTACTGTGGTTCCTCTTTTTCACTACACAGTTTTTTGATAATGAAGCAATTTGTCGTTGGACCAGAAAAATTCTTATTTTATTTCTGACCACGTGTACAGAGGGAGGCGAGTTTTAATTTAAAAACCATTTATGACCATACTGAAGGTTGCTAATACAATTTCATCATTTTTACTTAAACCCATAATGGTGTGAGCAGCTGGTTTTATGGTTTCCACAGTATGGTTTTTGAAATAGTCTATCTCCTTTTTTCTTTTATTTTTTTTTTTCTATTCTTAGTCTGAGCTGCACAATACTTGGGGGGTTTTATTATTATTTTTCTGCTTTATATTGAAATGTAATCATCTTAAGCTATTTTTACATCTATTAAGTAAACATTATGAGACCTGAATATATATCTAAATTACATAAAACGAAGTACTTTTAATCTTGGCACATCTGGGATGGTAGAGTTTGAGAATAATACCGCATCGAATGTTGTTTTCCAAACTGATCTTTGCAGATACAAGGGATGGGATTCAGTTCACAGACCGAGGCCTAAATTTAGGTTTCAGTTTACAGGTGCAGGAGATAGACCAGTACTGCCAGGGGAACCTGAAGAGCCATTCAGATGACAACTGTTACAATCTAACATGGGCAGGGGATAAGTTCAATCTCTCTCAACTCCTCTAATGTAGTAACTAAATCCCCAGAACTAGGATGGATCAGATCCCTGGCTTGTAGGCAGCTCCCGTTATCTGGGGATTGAATTTCAGCCCTGGCAGAATTTGCTTTAGTATTAAACCATTTCCTTGAACCCTGGGGATCGATTTTCTTGGGTTTGCAATAATGCTGAGCATGTTCAATATAACAAAAGGTTTCACTTGGAAGGTGTTTTAAAGGCGTGGATGAGTCTCAAAAGGATAAAGCTGAATGGCACACAGCAAACATGACACGGTTCTAAGTCTGATCAAGACTTAATTTGCCAGAGAGGGACATTTTTAACATCATCTGCCCATGTAGCCTTAAACCACCACCATCCTGCTCTTGCTTTAAGAAAGTAATCAGACATTCATTGGGTTTTTTTTGTTTGTTTGTTTGTTTGTTTGATGATACCTGGAAAATGATGGATCATTTTTTTGGCTGATGAGCTTTGATTAAATGTGCATAGAACAATGTAAATATTTTGTGGTTATGTTTTAAGGATACAGACAGTGAAGTGCAGGGTATTGACAATGTGCTGTTCAGTCAATATTAGTTCAATCCAGCTTAAAATAGTTTCTTTTTATTCATCTGTTTCTTCGATTTGGGTTCAGAGGGGCATTTCTCACTGTATACAAGAACATTTCTATTTTTTTTTTTTTTGTAGTTAAGTAGCTTCTGTACACCCTTTTAGCTGCTGGACATTTGCACTGCAAATCATATAAATCGATCGTGGTTTATGTTCTGTTTCATATTAAATTTTTGTGAAAACTGAGTAAAATATCGAGTGCAAAAGAACATTCTGAGAATGAAAGTGCTGTTTTGAAACTTCACTGATCTTTGCATCAGTGGATGGTACTGCAGGCAGTCCAACACACTTGACAATGTTGCTTTCCCTGATTGTCCAACTACTTTCTATGGATCCATCCCAGGCTAACAAGTAGATAACAGTGTTCTTACTACAGTTAGCTCTCTGCCAGGGGTAAAATCTCTATTTGTATTATCCAGAGTTTCATAAGAGTAAGTTAAAAGGAAGACTTAGCAGATAACACAGGTGACTTAGCTCTTGGTGAGGAGGGCACAAGGTTGGTGAAACAAACTTCGTAAGATGAGGGATATTGGTTTTTTAAAAAAAAGGCAGATACTTTCAAAAAGTTGGCAAGCCAAGAAAAACATGACAAGAAATTCTGTAAAGAGAAAGGTGGGGCAGAATGCAGCTTAGATGAGTAAAAATAATGGTGGCTTTGCCTTTGTGTTATTTGCTGTTACAAAGGGAGAGGTGTGTTTTGGTTCCTTCCTCCTTCTCCTCAGATGAATGTTGATTTGTTCTGTTTCCTACCTGTAAAATAAGAGGTTTTTTAATTAGTCCATAGGCTCTATACTAGTTCTATGAATAATTATTTATTTTTCTGGTATATTGCGTTGACTGGAGTCTCACAGTACATAAACCCTCTGCAAGGGAGATCCCTGGGTGTTCTCTGCAAGAACTTCTATGGAAATGAGATGTAAAGTGTTTCACTATTATTTGTAAATCTAGAAATATGTGTTTACTTCATTTGTCTTATCAGTAACTTTGACAAAATATTTTCCCAGCATTGTATCTCTTATTTCTCTGGTGAACTCATCTGAACTTTAAAATCTGCTATTTTTGGGAAGCAGGGGCAGGAGAGTTCTTAGTATGCTGGATCCTGTGACTTTCTTTCTTCCCAATCTCTCAGAGAAAATGGATAGGGGATTTTTTCCAGCTTCTTATGTATATGTGATAAATCCCA